TTCTCCCTTCTTTAGCTTTGATTTAAGTTGGGCTCCTTTAATTTTGGGTTAAACCGTGAGTCCCCTGCAGAATTTTCCTTCCATGCCACCGGCTCTTCCCCAAATTGCAGCTCCGGCCTTGCTTGCTGGATTTTGGTATGTGACAGCCTTAAACCATTGTCTTTAAGCTTGATTAAGGTAGAATTAGCTTGATTAGTTTGCTGCCGTCTGATGTCCGAATTTGACAGAAATTTGGGGATAATTCCGGTAGCTTTAGGACAAGTTTAAGTATTAATTGAAGTGGGATTTATGTGATTGAGTGTTAATGGATTGCTGTGTATTTTTGGAGAGAAAACCCCGTGATTAGCTAGTGGTTTGGCCAATTTTTGGAAGTGTGAGTTACTGTTCACAGGTTACTGTTTACACCCGAGGGCCAACAATTAACGGGGATTTAAATGATTAGTTTGTGATATGAGAACGATTTTGGAGATATTTGATCATGTGGAGATTTATGGAAATAGCATTGTGATTAGGAATGATCCTAATGATGAGTTTACCTTGAATTTGTGATAGTGGTATTAATTCTTGAAATATTTTGATTAGGTTTCCGATCGTTCTGTTAGTTAGCACTAAGATTGAGTGCTCGGTTTTATGCGAGTGAGGTAAGTAAATTATGGTAACGCCCTTTGATTTTAAAAGCATGTTTTGATTTGTTTTTGAAGTGGTGGCGGGACTAAACCTGTTTTATACAAAAATGAGCATGATTGATTTGAAATGAGATTTTGATGCTTTTCATTAAATTGAGCATGCTTACTTGGAATTTAATTGATTGTCCTGATGATCTGAAAGTGATTGGTGAATTATGTTTTTTTGTTAACTTCAACTTGTTTTGTCTCCGATGTGGTCATGTTTCTGTAATCCTGCTAGTGGGAGTTAAACGCTAGCACATGTCAGCACATGTCGATATGTTATTGTAACCCTGTTAGTGGGGGTTAAACACTAGCACATGTCGGCGCATGTTGATATGTTAGTGATAGAACCGGTTCGTACAAGTGACCCTGCTAATGGGGATTATACACTAGTAAATCGTGTGCCTGCCAGTGGGAAGTTTAATACACTGGCCATGACCTATAGAGGAGACGTCTATTTTGTTCCCGTCCTGTATCTGTTTTGCGTGATTGCACATGTTGGCATGCTATAAGTTTAATAAGGGGCACTCCATATTTACTTATTGAGTTTATCTCATAGTTTTTCCTTGTCTACTATTTCAGGAAGTGAAACCGAGGACAGGGAAACCACGGGAAGTGACGGGTTAGAAAGCTAGCCATTTCGAGATTGATATAAATTTTAGAAATAAATCGTGATTTTGTAAACTAGAGTGTATTTGGAGATTTATGATATCGAAGAAATTTTAAAAATTTGATCTTCAGATTTTGATGGCATCAGGTTATGATATGATAAGTTTCGAGCCTTGTGCATTTATGGGACTCTCTCACGAGTGCACGGCGTCTGTCATGTCCCCGGATTTGGGTTCTGGGGCGTGACAATAAAGAAAAAGAAGTAGAATGAACTAATCTTTAAATATGGAAGTAACAAATAACTAAAGTGAAAGCAAACTCCTTACATAAAAAAACATCAATATAAGAAAATGAAGGTTTTATATATATATATATATATATATAAACACCATCACTGAATAAAAAAAGAAAAGTAAAAGAAAACTAATTAAGAAATTCAGCATAAATAATATAAATTTACTTAATTTAGTACATACAAAAAAATTTTAAGAACTTCATAATTAGCACTTTTTTAGACAATACTGTTTCATCAACCCAAAACCAACATTAGATTTCAAACAAAAATTTAAAAACCCACCATAAAAGCCACAAAAAAAATCAAACTACTGCCAAAATTTTTAATCAATTTTATTTTTACAAAAAGAATAAGAAACTACTAATGAAATTAAACCAATATTACATTTGATGGGAAAAAAATGATGTAAAAAAAAAAAGACTACTTAATGCAAGAATAATAAATAATCAAAGAAGATGTAACAAAGTCACTACAAAGAGAAATCAGCATAAGAAATTAAAATAAAAGTTAAAAAAAAAAAATAGGACAGTCTTATTGAATTGAGCAGTGAAATGGGACCTTCCGCAGTCAAGATAACGTGGCCCAATAAAAGCGAAAGTGTTGGCCGGAGAGTGCAGGAGGCGAGTGGCCCAAGCACTGCTCTATTGAATTTTGTTAGTTGATTAGGTAGGGGAGCAAAAGAGAAAAAAAAAAA